GTATGGATATGAATATGTTTGTATGGATATGTTTGTATGAATATGTTGTATGGATATGTTTGTCACCTTGGGTTTGACGCTAATGATTGCAAAAGCGTGAAACCCAGGGTCACAAACACGTATCCAGACAAACTGAATATGTTAGTTCTATCACGGATATTGAGCACTTTATAATAAGTACCGCGCATATATAATATATAGAAAATATATATTTGTGTGTGTGTGTGTATGTATGTATATGTAATGAAATAATTATAGACTAAAAATCTCCCAGACGGATTGCCAAGCACAAATAGAGAGCTCAGTCTGCAGTATTATTATTTAACCCACAGATGGGGGTAGTGGGTTTTCCCAAAGTTATTTCCACGTAAAATGTAACTCGGGACGGTAATTCGCAGAACCGAATTCGATTTGTCGAATTCACTTTCGGAGTCGCCGTTGCATCGATATATATATATATATATATATATATATTACTCAATATACATACATATATATATATATATATATATATATAAATATAAACTACTCAAAAGTAATATATATATATATATATATATTACTTTTGAGTAGTTTTATCGTCATCGGTTTTCTTCTTTTTCTCCATATATCGTTCTTTGATGATAGATTGGTATATTTGTTCTTTATCTTATCAGATTTCTTTATCTGTCGGATTTCGATCATATTTGGCCTATATTTGGTCCCATCCATCAAATATATATATATATATATATATATATATATATATATATATATATATATATATGGAAGAAATATGACAAATGGAAAACTGTTTCATCGAAAGTAGATTTGATTACGTGTTTCGCCTTTCTAGATTTCATCAGATCAAGAAAATGAAAGAAAGAAATATGTATATCTGTACTTGTGTGCATGCTTCGTATACACATATGTATATATTCTCACACATTCTTTTCTATATATATTTTATTAATTGTACAAAACAATCACAGAATTTATACCACATTTTTTTTCTCATGCCTACAGGTTGCAATGGATAAATTTTTGTATAAATTACGCAAAAATGAAAATAACACTGACACCCCATTTAACAGATATATTTACCGACATAACACACAAATATCTTGAAATACTATAGAGTAAATTTGTTCAATAAAATCGCCATTGGCTTCAACCACAGCCTCCAGACGACTTTTGAATCTCTTCTGGATGGTGTCCTTGTTTAAATTGGAGAATGCCACCACAATCTTGCCTTCAGTTCATCTTTGGTATCACACAGAGTTTTGTTGTCTTTCGTTCAACTGCGTCCACACATAATAATAATAAAGAAGGCTACAATCCGAAGAGTTAGGTATCCAGATGTAAAGGCTGATGTGATCGCAGCAATTGTCTCACAGCCATTTCTGGGTTCTCCTACACGTGTGGCATGGTGCAAAGTCCTGTTGTCAGATATAGGCCATTCCAGCAGCCACACACTTAACCCAGGGGAGCACTACTCCCTCAAAGCACGTGATGTAGACTGATGCTCCCACCAACCGATTCGGGAGTTCTTTTCTTATCAGAACGATCAGAGTGAGGTTTGCGAGCTATCATACCTTCGTAATCACCATTAGACTCTTTAGAACTCTTTCCGAATCCTCCGCACTGTCCTCAGATTTAGACCCAGTGACTCTGATATGTTTGTATTGGAGCTTCCCGCGTGTAAGCCAAGCAGTACAGCATGCCGTTTCCAAATTTCTGGCGGAGTGATGATGCTCCATCATCTCAGAGACGGCGCCCTATTGACCGTAATATACTTTGCAGTCGACAAAATCACAAACAACACGCATGCGCGAAATTAAAAATATAAACACACATACACACACACACATATATATGTGGATAGAATTATACAAATACACACATATATATATATATATATATATATATATATATATACAGAGAGAGAGAGGGGGAGAGAGAGAGCGGGGAGAGAGAGAGAGAGATTTTTTGTTTCACCTTTGAAAGTGAAGTCTGAAGATCCAGAGAAAAATAAAATTCTCTGGTGAAATAAATTATAACTAATGAAACCTTAAAGTGGTCTGTTTTTCTTTTTAAATTATATATATATATATATATATATATATATATATATATATATAGTATTAATGTGAGAAACTTGTCACTTAACGGAGTGGTGTTATATGTGTGTGTATATGTCTGCGTTTGTGTGTGTATACGTGTGTGCGTGTATGTGTATCCACCTGACTCACTAAAGGGAATAACAGATGACAAGAGAAGTTAACCTCTCCTGACACCACCATGCACTGAACTCAACCTAAGAGATACAAAACTAGACTTTGCACTTAGAAACAAAGAAAAAAAGCGTTAAAGTGTTATGTAGAAGGATGGCTTAAAAAGTTGTAACCCTCACCCAAAAAGAAAATCCAAACATGAACATTTTGTCGTGCCAACACACTACCACTTCTTTTAAATCTAGAAAATAAATCTAATTTTAGATTTCTGTCTTAATTTCTGTGAAAGGGAGCCCATAAAAATGTGAGGGATGTCCAATAAAACTCTAAAATAGACAACACAGAAGCCCGAGAAGTAAAAAAGTATGACAACCTAGGAAATCCATGAGGACATTCTAGATACACTTGCTGAAGACTCCGCCCTTCTTATGTAAGTGATCTGCAGAATATCAAGTGGTCGGGGACACAACAGGACATGACCTTCGGTGAGGTCGTCGAGAAACCTTAACCACTGAGGAAAAAATTGATTGCATTCAGTGTACGGTTTTGGATGACAGACGTCTTACTGTCTAGCAGATAGCTAAGTCCATAGGCATTATTTCTTGTTCGGTCCATTCTGTTTCAACTGTGATCTTGGGGATGAGAAAGCTGTCTGGAAGATGGGTCCCAAGACTACTGACACCAGAGCAGAAGTTAAAAAGGGTTACCATTTCCAGGAAAATTCTGACTAGCTTCCAGGCTGAACTTGAGAATTTCCATCACAGATTAGGAACTCAAAAGAAAACCTGGATTCCCAAGATGAATCAAAGATTCAAATAAAATACGGTTAAAGCACTGGTTCTCCACTCCGGAAGAATCAAAGATTCAATAAAAATACGGTAAAAACACTGGTTCTCTACTCCGGAAGAATTTCAAGCAGTTAGGGTCTGTTGGTAAAGTGATAGCATCTGGGTTTTATTATTATTATTATTCTGAAGGTGTAATCATGATTGACTACCTGGGAAACAAAATAAAATCTTAATTAACAGTACTATGCATAAGAATTAAGATATCTGAAGGAAGCAATCAAGTAGAAACACAGAAGGAAGCTGAGGGTAGGTGTGCTTTTGCTCTAGATGATGCGCCCATTCACACAGGCTGTAGTAGCCGAATCAGCTAACTGTGGCTTTGAATTTCTAATTCATCCTCCTTACTCTCAAGACTTAGCTCCATCTGACTTCTTCCTGTTTCCTAAACTCAAATCCCACCTGTGTGGTTCCATTTTGGAAATAATGATGAGATCATATGTGCTAAGGAGGAGGGTTTGTTTTTTTTTATAGGACGTGGACGTCGCCTTCTTCCTTGATGGGATTGCAATGCGTAAGCATCGTTGAACCAAGTACATTGATGACAAAGGGGACTATATTTGAAAATAGTGAAAAACTATTTTCTTTCTCCAACTCCTGGCAGAGGTTTGAAAGCTTTTGAACGACCCTCGTAGTACTAATCCTCCAATATGGCAGTGGGTGTTGATCCATTTCTTCACAGATGAAGACCGCAGAAACGTGGTTCTACAGTAGGATGCTGAGAATAACATGGACTGGGCTTAGGCTGAAGAAAGAAACATTAGGGAAAATGGAAACAAACTTTTACAATAAGAAAAAAAGACAGATAAAACAAACATTTAGAATCAAAGACAGATGGAAGTTCAATAGAAACATAATTGGGAAAGAAGGCTCGGCTAATATGACACCCACAGGAGAAATTGTACGTAAGAGAGACGGAGCATATGCAGAGCAAAGAAGTTTTGAGGAAAATAGAAACAGACATTTAGAATCAGAAAATGACAGATGAAACATATTTAGAATCAGGAAAAGACATGAAGTTTTAAGGAAACAAAGGGGAAAGAAGGATGGGAGAATCTGAGACTCACGGGGAAAATTGTACTCACGAGAGACAGATGGAACGAGCTTATGAAAATGGATAGCAAAGACAGGAATGGGATAGATATTAATGACATCACGAAGACATGAATGTTAAGGAAACGTAATTGAGAAAGAAGGATCGGAGAATATGACACTCACAGGGCAAATTTTAGTCCTGAGAGTCAGAGTGAAACCGTGAAGAACCTTCCTGACGAGCTTGTGGATAACAAAGACAGGAATGGCAGAGATATTAAGGAGTAACCATTACAGCTATAAAAGAAAAGGTTTTGAAGAGCAGTGATCCCCGATATCCTGAAGACATGAAATTTTAAGGAAACGTAATTGTGAAAGAAGGATCGGAGAATATGACACTCACAGGGCTAATTGTAGTCATGACAGACAGATGAAACAACGTAGAACCTACCTGAAGAGCTTATGAAAATGGATGGCAAAGCCAGGAATGGCAGAGATATTGAGGTGTAAACATTACAGCTATAAAAGATAAGAACTTTGGAACAGCAGTGATCCCCGACATCATGTAGACACACGGCATATAGACGAAGGATAAATTTAATGTTTCATTTAAAATATTTCTGAAGGTTTCATCAATTATTCTTTGCAAAGCCATATATCTGATTCGTATGATGGAAAGCAGGACCTCCCTGGAAGCTGAAACAGTCATTTTCCCAAGTGACACTGCTTGGGAATGACTAGGACCCTTGCAATCTGATGGTCATCGTTGCAGAGAGAAAGTGGACCTACACTTCCATGCGTAATCAGTCGCAATTAGGTGAGTGCCTAGTCCATGTTATCAATCAATATGTGCATGAATAATGGACAAGAACCGCTTGATCGACTGATTGATATTGGATCGATCTGCTGATTAAAGCGACCTCTCTACTTGCACGGTGTCGTCGGTCGTGTCAGCAGAGAACGACCAAGTACTAATTAGAGAAAGAAAGAAAGAAAGAAAGAAAAGTAAGAAAGAAAGGGTTGCAGAAAAGAAAGAAAAGGGTCGAGAAAATAAAGAAATCGTTAAGTAAAAAAAGTACAAAGAAATGAAGAAAAAAAGAAAGAAAGGAAAAAAGAAAGAAAGGAAGGAAGAAAGGAAGAAATGCATTCTGAAAAAAAGGATAAGAGAAAATAAAGAAGGAAATGCATGAAGAAAAGAAAGAAGAGAAAGAGAAAATATAAAGAGAAAATGGAAAAAATAAAGGGATAAACTGAAGCAAGACATTAAAAGCAAGATGGAAACAAATAAAAGAAAAAAGGGAATAAGTAAATACATGTATAAAGAAAGAAAGAATGATAGAAAGAACGACAACAAGAAATGAAAGAAAAGAAAGAAAAAGGCAGTTAGGAACGACAGAAGAAAGGACTAAATAGAGGGATTGTCATAAGCATTAACGTAGCTCGATTTTGACTTTTCAGAATTAACCACCTTCAACTATAATATATATATATATATATATATATATATATATATATGTCCTCTTTTAATTGTATTATATATACTACTCGACACTCCCGTCGAATTCGACGTATAAGGGTCAAGCAAATCAGTTCCCAGGAAACCGACAGCCCGACAACAGTACATGAGATTTTATTATCGTGGTGAAGGTTTAGTGCAGGACCATCCACACTTTTTGAAGGGACGAATACAGAGACCTGATGCACTGCATACCACAAGGTCCACAAATGACCCTCCGCAGGTTTTGAATTCAGAGTTGTCCTTCTTCTAGACCAGTTGCCATCCAAGGCTATAGAACCCAGTCTGTCCTGTTATTTACCCATAGCTGGAGGGAGAAGAAGAGGATTCACACCTTTCCCAAGGGTATTAGCACGTAAATGAATCTAATGGATTCGATTGGAATTCGAACTCGGCTCTCTCAATCCGATATCCATTACGCCACTGTACACTATATATATATATATATATATATATATATATATATATATATATATATATATATATATATATATATATCCTTTTGTAATGTGTTCTTAGTCCCGTCGTGAGTCACTCTGTTTATTAAAACCTTCGTCCAGGTACTTCCTTAGTTCTTATTACAGGGTTTTAAACAAAGAAAGAAGATAGAATAAATGTATAAGGGAATAATGGAAGATAGACGGTAGTATTAAATAAATAAATGAATGGAAAAGAAAGAAAAGAAGAAACAAACTAAGAAAAGGATACAGAAAAGAAAGAAAGAAAGAAAGAAAGAATACAGAAAAAAGGTAAAAAGAATTCAAAATAAACTGAAGATTTTTTTTTTTACTTTGTTTTGTAGTCCTCGCTTGCATTTGTCTTGATTACTTGGGCCCGCAGGAGAAACCAGCTTCCACGTTAAGCGTCACTACTTCTCATAAAGGTTTGCGACGAAATCGGATGGAAAACCGTTAGTCTTTATTATTGTATAGGAAAAAAAATCGATATTTGTGCACTAACTGGCCTCCGCCAACACTGACAAAAGAAGGAACAGCTTCTTGTTTCTTTAAATTTAACAGGTAATGTGCGTATCCCTGATTTGTTTGTCGTATTGTTCACTCACCCATCTATTTCGTATCAAGCATAGTGATATAACATTGACGTGATATTTGCTCAACATTTAAGGGAATTGGAAAAAAAACGTAAAGAAAGGTAGATACATATCCTCCCTAAGAACTTTCGGATAAAATTAGCAAAATTTCACCTTGAAATCGAACTCGTACTCTTTATTCTTTTCCCCTGTGTCTTCATGTATTTGCTAAACGTAATGTTTTGAAAGTGCGACTAATGTTTTAGTATCCACAACAGAACGTCATGGATAAGCATCTTACTTCAGCAGGAGTGTCTTGTTGTCTTCTGAATGATTTGTGAGAGGACATATAGATGGTCATAGGTGATTGATTCATTGAGTTCTAGTTTACGGTTTATCAACACTTTGTTGGTGATTTGAAGCTGGAACTTATTTCAGGTTGCAGACATTACATTACAATGTTCCCAAGCGGTCCCCGGATCTTAGACACCGGTTGAAGTTGATGTCTAATCGAGAATCAGAATGTCTATAAAGTTGCTTTCTTGTTCGGTGATGAATTCACTTCAATACGTAGCATTCACGCTTACGTGCTATCTGGCTTAATTTTCGGTCATTTCATCAATGGACCCGTGCTACTAGAACTGAATGAAAAACACTCGTCTCTGTTAATGGAAGAAGTTTCCCTTTCGTTATGTCAGGAATCGCAAATTTACAAACTATTGTCAGCTTGTCTATTGCAACGTATAAAACTGCAGAAATTAATGTATTTTAATAATATATAATTGTTATGGTCCAGGTTAGGACCAAGGAAGAACAACTCGAACACAAGAGTAGAAATAACAAAGGTATATTACACGAAATAATAATACAAGATGTGGAAGGTGTTAGTATGACTGTCAGTCTGGTTTGGAGGGAACAACTATCGGCTCGACTCGTTTCGATATTTACTTGCCCCCACCACGAGGGAAAGATGTGGCACAAGGCCGAATTTCACGTGGGTTTTCCGAGCCCGGAGGCTCGGCTAAAAAATGCCCGTAGAAAATGTAAAAACAGAATCGGGTTGGTCAACCTCCTCGAACGAGGCTCTGCCCTTCGGCGGGGCCTCGTCCGGGTTCCTCTCTGCTCAGAGGCAGAGAGTTCGACCGTCAAGCCGAGAAGCTCGGCTTGATTCGACCCTCTCTCTTGAGAGGCGTAGTATACATAGTGTTAGGAAGTGTTCATTCTGTAGTTATAGGTAAGGACCCATGACAATAATAATTGCCCTGAAACACTTTCTCTATGAATTTGGTAACAAAAATATTAAGGATTATTTGTTCATCTGTCAATTATTTTTATTGTTTCGTGATACTGGCCGGCTTTGATTGTCCCTTTTGCTATGTCAAGCGAAATCTCGTTTTTCCTTCCCAAAATGCTCATTATATTCGAGACTTCGTAGACGCCGGAACTAGTAGTAATGCCTTCCAATAATATTCGCAACAGTAATACTTGTCCAAGTAGTAATCGCCAAATAGTATAATGATCAGAAGTGAATCGTAATCTGTATAGTAGCAGAGAAGAGAGAGCGTGAACGAGTAGTAATAGTGAATAGACAAGAAGTGTGAACAGTGATCATTAAGCTAGTTCGTATTTATTCACTAAAGGAGCGTATATTCAAAGCAGTGATCATTTATTTATTTACTTGTCCAAGAAAAGTCATAATTTGAACTTCATCCATCACTATTCTTGTGGTTTTCATCGATCTTTTCTTTTTTGGATTTCAGTATTTACTTCTTTTGATATGGATTTTCAAGAATTTCTTCTCTTTCTTTAAAACATTATAAGTAATTTTTTTAAACATTACCTAAGATGCTGAAATTCTTAAAATTCCAAATTCCGTAAGAGTTACTCATTCCAATCTTAAAAATCTTCGTTTTGGTTTCTTTCTGCCACGATTTCAATTCAATGCGAAAATGAAGAATTTCGAAAATCGTATTTTAATAATATTTATTATTTAAGTAGTGATCTACTTAATAATGGAATCGCCCGTGTTACTAGTTTCAAACCAACGACAATTACTCTTATACAAAACATTGTTTTCGCATTTTCGTAGAATATACAAAACTTCATCATCATCATCAGTTTATGTCGACTGAATGAATCTTTACGACTCTTTGTTTGCAATCTCCACGATTATGCAATGCATTTTGGTAGCTCTTTGAGTTGGCATTCTATATCTTTAAAAATTGTATGTTTTGAAGAGTCACTCGTTATTTCGGTGTTAGCGAGAGAGCACCACTTATAAGCTCATCTTTACTTGTCCAAGAACGATCTTCTTTTTAATTATTCCACCCCAAACAAGGCGACAATGCCACTAAGACACAAGGGGGTTATTAAGAGTGAAAAAAGAAAGCTAAAACTTTAATAAGAACGAACAAAAAAAAAAAATGAACACGCGTCAGGAAGCTAAAAGATTGCGATTGGCGTTGCATTTAAATTTTTGAAGTTTGTAGGATGTAGAGAGGCAAGAAACCGGAAGAGATTTCCACAGACTATTTGTGCGAGAATAGAAACTATTAGAATAGATCTTAAACTATTAGAATAGATCTAGGTAGCTCAGTATTAAAACGATAAAACCTTGTTACCAATCTCGTCGTGCGCAAGGTGGAAAGCTCATCAGAACAATGACCATGAAAATGTTTGTAGAAAATAAAGAGGGCAGCCATATTACAGCGCTGGAAAGAGAATTGAATTCCAAGATGCCTGGTAATTGTAAATCTCAAGATTATCTTACGAATGGAAGCGGAAGTAGATTGCTATAGTAATGGCTTTTGTAGGGTACTTGTTTCTAGATTAGGATTTCAGTCATAATTTTAACTTTAGCCATCACTATTCTTGTGATTTTCACTGACTTTTTCTTGTTTGGATTTCAGTATTTACTTCTTTAGATATGGATTTTCAAGAATTTCTTCTTTAAAACATTATAAGTAATTTTTTAAAACGTTACCTAAGATATCTGTCTATATTTCTGAGATGAGGTATTATCCAATATCCAATCGAGAATCCGTGGTCAGTCTGCAAGGAATAACATCGTGTAATGGACATGCGAAGTACTAAAATGTGCACTGGGCCATGTTTCATTGGAAAAATACGAAAAAAAAGTAAATAATAACGGAATTATTCGTTTTGTTTCAATTAATTTGCACAGTATCTGTCTATATTTCTGAGATGAGGTATTATGTACATTATTTACATTATTCGGGCTATTGTCCTCATCTTTGTCGCCATATTTATTACAACGTTTCGGCCTTTCGGTATCTGTCTATATTTCTGAGGTGGGGTATTATGTACTATTTACATTATTCGGGCTATTGTCCTCATCTTTGTCGCCATATTTATTACAACATTTCGGCCGTTGTACGCTCCGGCCTTCTTCAGGTGTTTGGAATATCGAAAAAAATTGCAATATGAGCACTGGTAAAAAATGATTGCTTGAGACAATAAGTTCTTAATATCCAGAAAATCATACACAGATGTCCTCAAGTGGATAAAGGCGTTAGTTAGATCCAGGGACAGGACCCAAAGAGTGTGAGTTCAATACCCGGTTAAGGCAGTGGAGAACTTTCAGAAGGAAATTAACAGGAGTTAACTGATAACTGACATCCATTAAACATGGCATGGAACTAGAACAGTCTACCCCAGTGAGCAAAATAAAGGGTTCAGTTCGACATTCCAACCACCTTGAAGGCGGGAGCGTACAACGGCCGAAACGGATCAGAGTTTAATATATATATATATATATATATATATCGAGATTACATTTATAGTAATCTCGATGTTAATCTACAGGAAACTGCAGAAAAAAATGCGGAATGATTCAATGATCCCCAAATTTATATTTAAGTTCTCTCTATCTGCACGGAGCCATGTTGATCGCTACAGACTCTAGTATAATCAGATGTTATTTTGTCCGACCCTTGTGCAGCGTAGAGAAGAACTCTTCTGAATAGTTTTTGGTACAGGTACCCTTATTTAATATGACAGATTCATGTGTCTGTGAATCTCCGGATTTTAATGGAAGTTGCCTATCGATAACATACATGTTGAGCAATTCTTACCTCCAGCCATTTTGCCCTTGTAGTCAGCATCCCAGTGGCATTTTAGCGATAAATGACTAAATTTCCTTGAGGGGTAGGCAAAGTCTCTTTACAGCCAGAGGGGGACGAACTTCTAGTAGAAAATACGGTACATACTCTGACAGACTTAAAAGAGTGAATGGTAATTTGAAATACAAAGGACATTTATGAGTGCCGAATGCTTTAATTTCATTAAACTTAGAAATTTCAAGTCTATTGCTACTCAGAATAACACTTTTATATATATATATATATATATATATATATATATATATATATATATATATGCGATTGCGTCTAGCGTGAAACAGGCTGCCGCTTCTAAGTTTTGACTTCACTTTTTATATTTACACACGCTCTTAAGACTATATTTCTTCATATATATATATATATATATATATATATATATATATGGTTGATAAAAATAAAATTTGTCACTTAGCTGATATTATGATGTAAAGTCAGCATCTGAAAACCGGAGTTTCGTAAAAGAACTTTTCGTCATCGTTGATTCTCTTTGTCAGAAAGTTTCACCGATTGACTGCATTTTTCTTTATTTTTTAATGTTCAGTTTAACGTAACAAATTTATGCGCTAATTGGAATGCAGCTATTATTGGGGTCATGATGATTTGTGTGTGTATGTGTGTATGTGTGTCTGTGTGTCAGTGAGTGCATGTGTGTTTTTGTATGTGCGCTTGTGCAATTGTGTATGTGTCAAATGTCGTGCTAACTGAGATTTTTGTATATTATAAATGGTAGGTAGATAGATAAATAGAAAAAAAATACTGATATGCATATGTGTGTATGTGTGTGTGTGTGTGTGCGTTTGAGTGTAAACACACCGAGATAGATAGATATGAACATATTGAGATAGACAGATAGATAGACAGACAGAAAGAATCAGTATGAGATAGATTGATAGATAGATTAATTATGAGAAAGATAGCTAAGCTGAATGCGATAGATAGATAGATAGATAGATAAGCTGAATGAGATAGATAGATAGATAGATAGATAGATAGATAGATAGATAGATAGATAGATAACGAGCTGAATGCCAAACATCGATACTAATGATATAGATGAACAAACAGAATTGTATTGGTAGATATACATGAATAAAAAGAAAGAAATCAATCAATTCCATCAACTATTGTAAGGTTCCTAACCTCAAACCCTCAGAAATGTTATCACTTTTAAGAGAATCTCTATTAAATTTGACTCAAGCCAAATTTTTCACGTCTCAATCAATAAAGGAGCGTAGATTAAATTCGTCCCGCGACTTCGCATGGAAATGTCGATTGTGTTTTAATCCTTCGTTTATTGAGCTCGAATCAATGGTTTCTTTATTAACGGTAAGATGTTGTTTCACTTAAAACAACGTTCATTCATTAACCTTACATTGTTTTATTGATCAGCACCGAGAAGCAATGCACTAAAGCAATTTAATCAATCCTCAATCGTGACTGACATCACTCAAGATACGCATCGTTGTATCTTTGCAGAAATACTGATTTGATGGCCATCCATCAAAGCAGCAAACAATTGTTTTTGACTATCTGAAATAATTTGCTCTCAATTTACGTTAATCAGTCACGGAGGAAAAGAGAGATACATACATGCATACTACTACTACGACTACTACTACTACTACTACTACTACTAATAATAATAATAATAAGAAGAAGAAGAAGAAGAAGAAAGAACACGAGAATTAAATACTACTACTACTACTACTAATAATAATAATGTATAATAATAATAATGATGGATAAATATTAGTTAAGCAATCACGCAGGAAAATAGGATTAATAATAATAATAATAATAATAAAAGAAGATAGAAGAAGAAAAAAGAGGAAGTGAAGAAGAAAAAAAGAATAAAATAATAAAAAGATGAATAAAGACAGAAATAATAATAATAATAATAATAATAATAAGAAGAAGAAGAAGAAGAAGAAGAAGGAGGAGGAGGTGGATGAGGAGGAGAAAAGCAAATCGAATAAAAGACGAAGAAGAAAAGCAAATCGAATAAAATACTACTACTAATAATAAAATGAATAAAGAATAAAGAAGAAAATAATAATAATAATAATAATAATAATAATAATAATAAGAAGAAGAAGAATGAGAACAAGAAAAAGAAGACAAAGAAAAAGGAGGAGGAGAAGAACAAGAAAAGGAAAATAAAATAATTATAAGAAGACTATGACTAAAGAGCAGATAATAATAATAATAATAATAATAATAATAATAATAATAATAATAATCTGGTAATGGATAGCGAGCTGAATTCAGTAAACAGAACATCAGCTATTAACACCTTGCCTGTCTCTGTGGTGCAACGCAGTTTCAACATTTTTAACTGGGCCATAGCTGATATTATGCGAATTGAGGCGAAAACAAGAAAGCTTCTCACTCTCCACCTCATGTATCACCACAAGGCTGATGTTGATTTTATGTATATGCCTAGATCCAAAGGAGGCAGAGCATTAATTCAACTAGAACCCTCTTACAAAACTACAACGATTGGCTTTCAAAGATATCTAGAACTACAGAAGATTTGATGATGATCTGTTTCAAAGAACATGAAAGTAGCCAGCGACTTTATTCTGTAATAGAGGAAGCCAACAAATTCAAAATGAAGTTTCAACTGGGTGAAAGAATACAAATAAAGCATAAAACACAGACTGAAGCTGCAAAATATTTTAAAAAAGAAAGCAATGGCAAATGCAACCGACCAGATACAGAAACGATGGCAAGATAAACCATTTCATGGGCAACACGCTGTCCATACCATAAAAAGCTGATCTAGACGAACATCGTACCCATCAGTAGCAACGTAGTGCAGAGTTAAAAGCTGAAACTGAAGGTTATATTCTTGCTGAACAGGACCAATGCTTGCTAACTAGAAATTACCAAGGAAATATATTGAAAAATTGTGTTAGTCCAAAATGCAGATTCTGTGATAAATATCCAGAAACAATTGTCCATCTTGTATCAGGATACGTGGTATTGGCACCCACTGAATATAAAACACGGCACGACAGAGTAGGCGAATATCTACACTGGAAAATCTGCAACGCTTACGGAATGGAAACTGCAATAAATTTGTATGAACACCGAACAGACCCGTTACATCTCTCTGAGCCTAGATCCATTAGAGCCCATTTAAATACACACCGAAACCTACCAAACTACAACCGCTTGTAGGAAATACAAGGATCATAACCTCATCCACATCTAGAAATAAAAGACTAAAATTAATGGAAGCACAAATAATAAAAAAACAACACCATTCAATAACATCAACTATGAACACGGCCACAATGTGCTGACTGTGTTTGGAAAATAAAAAAGCATTCCTATTATTCTAGATACTTACATAAATATACATTCAGTTAAAATCAAAATCATCTTTGATGATAGATAAAAGAATAGCCGAAAGGACATTCGGACAATTTTTACACACTTTATGTCCAGAAAAAACCCCCAAAAACCAAAAAAAAATACACTTATACGAACAGAAGAAAAAGTAATTAACGAGAAGTACGTTTGTCTTATTCAACCCCGATGTATAGACTGTGTTTGTGTCGGAATAAGAAATTTTCAATTTAATTTTGACCTCAGTCGAAAAAATTGATACAAATTTATCCACTTCAATGTTTCAGTCAGACGAAAGGCACGAGGAAGTGATCAGAGGATGGTGGAAGGTATTAGCCTTAAAGGGAAGAGGTTTTATAAAATTGAACCCAGATATTAACCTTATGACATTAAATTGGGGTTATATGAAGAATGAAGTGTTAAATAAAAACTAAAAGAAGACCGAAAAAAATAATTATATATAAAAAAGATTCCTACTAAAAAATAACAAATTATTCCTTCTAAAAAATAACAAATTATATAAAAAGAATAACAATAAATCATATTTAGATAATTTATATTAAATTTAAGTAAGAATATAATTAAAAAAATTTGAATTAAAAATTTTAAGATAGTATAAATTATTCATTTTTAACTTTAAATATAAGTTAAATCAAGTTATATTAGCCCCCCCCCGCCATATTTGAGATAATTTTGTTTTTTGTTGTGCAATTTGTATACTCTGTTATACATTGAAGTCTTTTTCTGGATAAGTTTTAATATTTGATATTATATATATATATATATATATATATATATATATATATATATATTCAAAACCTACTATCATAAATCAGTGCCAATTATCACAAATTAGTGCCTACTATGATAAATGGGCCTGAAGTTATCACATCCCTGTCTAATAAGCGTCTTCGCAAAAATCATTCCCGTTGAGATGAAAACAGTTATCCCCTCCCCCTCTACCCCTTATTACGGAGCACAAACTTCGTATTATTTCTATCAAACCTTGGGAAGTCTTAAGTCATATCATAATCCTTGTGTTGAAGAAGGCGAACCGTCCAGATAAAATCCCAGTGGTTGTAATGAAAATTAGCACTGAATTATCTCCAATTGTTCAACAACTGTCTAAAGGAGAAACCCTTCCCAAGACTATGGTATGTGTCCAACTCGTTCCCAGTTTTCAAGAAAACGGGTTAGCGCTCATTGCTTATCAATATCGTCCCCTCAGCCATCTCGGTGTCATTAGTAAACCCTTTAAAGATATAATCAATAAAAAAAATGTTTTCGAATACGTCAACAGCGACAATATTTTGAGCGACAAACAGTATGGAGTTCGATGTGGTCAGTCCACTGCTGATTCCCTGTCATTTATTCATACTATTGTGGCACCATTTACGAAGCAGAGAAAGGAAAAGAAAGAAAAGAAGGCAGAAAGAAATGCGAGACGAATCATAGATGATAAGCAGACATACACACGGCTAAGAGACAATAAAAATATTGATAAGTAACAAATGAAAAAGGGTGTCATTACAATGACGGAATTTCTGAGTAAAAAAAAGAAAAGAAAAAGAAAGAAGGAATCAGATGTGTTTTGATAACGGCTGTGTTATCTAGGCTGGACCACTGTCCAGGGAAAAATTCAAGAGAAAATGCTATTTCGATAAGTGACGAGAAACAGGACACTAAAAAGGACTTTGGACAGATATGAAAAATTAAATCCAACACAAGCAGTGCGCTGACCGAATTCTTTTCGACGAAACAGTTTTGGCCTGCGATAATAAAATTATGTTATCAGGAATATGTACCGAAGGAAAATGAATGGGGACCCAGAAGTGTTTTTCTTTCTTCCTTGGAGGCGACAGACTGACTGAAAACTTTGGGGATATTTCTTTTTTTGAAGCCATGTTAAGAATACCACCCATCTTGATGAATTAGCGATAAAATACCTGACAAACACCACGTGTAAAACAAGAGTTGTCATATTGTCCGTGGCTAGAGAAATGATAACGGCGATTTAAGCGAAAGAGAAAAGATAATTTTTTTTAGTTAAGTAAGATATTTTTTTCCCGAAACAAAGCCGCGATGGTTCACGCCCGACTAAGACATCATTGGTCAAGTGGTGATCACGTGACGCACGAAGGAGGAGGAAAGATACCCGACCAAGACCTCATTGGCCGAGAGTGATCACGTGACGCACGAAGAAGGCTGTCGACGCCCCATCAAGAGTATAAGTATGAGAAGCTGCTACGAAGAAGTGGGGAGGGCAGTTCACGCCCCTCAGAGGAATGGTGAGAAAGTGGGAGTGAGGAAGGTTTCCCAAAAATGGAAAAGAGTTGAAAATCCCTAACCAGAAATAAAAGAGGTGGATATGTATTTAGAATTATCGAGAAACCCCCCGACGCCAACAGAACCACCCCGGTTTTGGTCGGCGTCAATAAAAGCGAGACTCCAACAGGCAGAAATCAGTTCGGGCTCGAGTTTCCAGAGTTGAGTTCCCAGAGTCAGTCTCCAGTTGAAACCGCCTCGGAGATAGCTGACCAAGATTCACGCAAATTCCGGACTCCTCTTCAACCCAAGAACAATTATTTTGAAGAGCGACTTAGAACCAGACCATCGAAATAAGTTTTTCGACTTTCGTCCAAAGACACACCGAAACACCAATTTCTTAGAGAGCAAACAACTTGAAGCGTTAAAACTTGCCTAGCGGAAACGACGTGTCACAATCCACAGAACGGGTCGGGAGATAGATGCAGTCCTATGTATC